TAAGCATTGCCACTGATACGAAACGAAGTATCTAGATACGCGGTTGATAATGGCGAACGAAACAGCTTCGTCATTGATAGCGTGTACGGAGTGATTAGTAGATGCGCTGTTTGGAGCGTTTCGGCCTGCTAAATTAGCCAGATTTCATTGCTTTGCTGTGATTGCCAGTGGCCGCCTTTCGAAAATTTGGAAGGGGTTATTGACCATTCACAGAAAAGACTTCAATTTGCCCATTTGACTCGACAGCTTTTTTCCCCTGGTTATAATGTTTATTGTTTTAATTTCTGTAATTAATGACGTAATTATTGTTTCTACCTATTTGAAGATATATTCTGCCTCAGTAAAGGGAATGCTGCAGGTAGCACGCACTTGTCTCTTTCCTGTAATTTTTAAATGATATTGGACACATTTTTTGAAACACCCAGTATAGTTTAGCTCTTTGAATGTTCAATTTTCAAGAAAAAAAGTAAACTTTTACAGATGGTTAAATTAGCTTATTATAGCTTTTTAATGTACGAAATGTGTAAGGTCCAGAAAAAAATGTTTTATATTCACGAACAATATCTTGGTGTCAGTATCACTCAGAACTGCGTAATGTTTATTAGCATTTCAGAGCGTGGTATTGCTTGAGACGCAAGTCTGCACACAGCGCTTCAGTCAGTACGTATAAAACTGTGCCTGTCTTTCTATTGCATTGACTATTGACTGGTTGTGTTGGCACACACACACACATGGCATTTCTTGGGCAGAGTAAAGTCAGTAAATAAACGGGCCCCGCAACACTTCTTGAACATGGTCGGAAAACGCTGCCGATCGGCAGTAGAGTCTCTCAAGAACACGCGAGCCAAATGTTATGGTGCAGCACGCAGCCTGGAATTTACAATAAATTATCAAATTCACCTAAAATTGCTTTCTTTTCCCTCAAAAAATGACAAAAGACGCTCAAAAATTGCACGTAGATTGCCCATCTATCAGCCATCGGCTGATTTGAACATGGTACGCTGGGTTTTTACAGAGATCAAGGCGAAAGGCCGTCACTTGTCCACGAGTGCGAACGTGATCGCTCTGAAAAGGTCGTATATTCGAAGAAAAAAAGTGCTGAAGGTCACGAGGCACCCATGACGTTTTTCGTTTGCCCCTCCCATCCCTCCCCGCTTAGCTTCCAGTGCTTTCGTCGGGACGAGAGAAGAGAGAATGCGATTGCAGCGTGGGACGAATTTTTGAAACTACGATCATACTGGATGGATTCTTAAAATTTTTGTGGCGTTGAATTTATGAGGCAATACGCTCTTCGAGTGAATTCCATGGTTACTAAATAAGTGTATCAAGGCCTCTTCAAGGAGAACAAGAATACCTCGTTGGTGCTGGTAATAAACAAGCTAATAGCGGCGTTAATGAAGATGAAAATGAGCTTCCACTGGCGCCGCTGCTAAGAGTTGATAAAAATAAAAAACAATATTTGCGTGTATTCGGTGTGCTCATGCAATGAAATTCGCGTGTATTCGGTGTGCTCATGCAATGCTGCGGTGCCAAGGCAGCACAAATGCATTTCAAACGCATTGCATTGAAGGCAGTTTTAAATCAAGTTCAAGTCGAGGAGCGTTTCTGAATACGGGGGTTAGCCTAACCCACGAACTCCCAGTAAATGGCCAAATTAGATTATGACATATTTGGTTTCATTTTGCAGGGGTTAGCGTCTGCTGGTGCTATGAACCGTGCACTAACAGACCACTAATAAATTACAAGTCCACCCACTATAAGCTTGTTAAATCAGCTATTGCCACATCATGCCTCAAAAACATTCTGGGCAAACCTTGCCCACACTGTACTTCTGAAGCATTTGAGCGTCAATCTGAAAGGCTGACAGATGCAGGCCATCTCAAGCCACTCCTCATTTCAGTTGCCAGCAGCCTGTTCATGAATGTATGCCACCACCCGCAAAATTGCGAAGCCATCCCACCACACAGGCAGAAGACAGCGACGATACCTTATGCACAAGCTGTCGCTTAACTAGAAACAGGTGGCCCAGCAATAAGACGTGAAAGTCATATCTTCAGCACCAAACAGGCTGTCTAAGCTCTGCAGAGTGACCGACCGGGAGGCAAGGACACAACAGGTCTCTGGCACAAAGCACAGGAGGCCCTTTGTTTATTGTGCAGAAAGGGTGATGTACGAAATTGCTTTAAAGTGTGGTAAAGTGCATTATGGCCAAACTGGACATTGTGCAAATGATAGGCTAGGACACCATGCAAACAATGTGAAGAATTAACATGACTGGAAAGATATTGAAGGTTTCCTTGCAAACGATTGTATAACCTGCCAGGATTGCTTTCCGGATCAGTACTTGTCATTCGTATTGTCTATTGTGTTTTCTGCGCTGTAGTGCGCCAGAATAATGTATTGATAAGCCCAACTCGCCACTTAATAATGAAAAGGTATATTGCAGTAGCTGTTCTGTTTGCTTTTTGGTTGAAAGTTTTGTTAAATCTATTGCATGAAATGGTATATTCTCAATTTATTACAGCAGTTTACTTTAAACTGTTTACTCAGTAGATTATATTAAAGAATCAGACTCAAGTTGAAAGTAAACAAAATTTGAGAAGCAAAAGCTTGCTAATGTTTTTTGCAGGCTTCAGCGCAAAAGGACAAGGAGGAGATGCCGCAGATGTTAGCAAAGGAAGTTGTCCAAAGAAGCTTGCATATGTTAGGCTGTAGCGGGAATAGAGAGAACATGTATATAGCTGAAGCACTCTTCAGAGCAAAGGTTGGTGGGCTCTTAAGGCATCACCGACAACAAGCTTAATACGCCTGGCCTAAGGCAAGCACTAGGCTCTCTAAGGCCTTCCCAGAGAGCTGCAGTTTTAACGACCAATAAGATATTGGGTTAGTTTGTATTGAGTTAACCTCACTGGGACATGAAGGACACTCGTACATAATATGCGTGAGTGTTGACACCGCTATGCTCCAGGGCCAATTGTCTCGTTACACTGTGGAGTGTAGCATTGAGTGTGTAAATTTAGGTCAATGCGGAATCACAATCTGTGGGCTTTGAGAATGTCAAGTTGACGAAATAGTTGCTTACAGATTCATCCCATTGAGCTTATCGCCCAGTATGTATTCGCATGAGGGACAGCCCACATGTTCATTTTCCGCTGCATTAGTGTGTAGACAGCACCAAATGATGACATGTTCTTCCGTAATAGGAGAGTTTAGGATTTTGGTGGCAAGTAAATGACAAATGCGTCCACATAATTCAAGAAAATTTTAAGTCATTTTAACATAAAAGAAAATACGTGCTGTTTTGAACCTGGAACGCTCATCTCTATGCCTGCAAATAAAACGGAGAACAGAATGCATTAAAAAGTTTGCCTTCACTGCTATACAAGTGCACCGCAGAAAAGCACGCTGTAAAAACAAAACCCAACTGGCATACACTTGTCGGCTTCACCGTTGTGCACGTACCCTGCAGAGAAGCACATGGTAAGGACAAATACAAATTTATTAAACTGAAATTCACAAGTTCGGCCTGCCTTGCACGTGCGCTAGAGAGAACAAATTTGTTTGTGCAATATGTATTAACGCGCTTGAAGCAATGATTTTTTTCAATAGGAACTAAATGCAGTTTACTTCCACAAAAGTGTGCGTATGTTTCAACCTAAGCATTTGGGGCCATTATAATTACACCTGCATTATTCTCTCAATCCCAAATGGCCAACATGAAAAGCAATTTATTTCGCCATTCCTGCATATCAGTGTAATGAGAGGATGACTCGGAGCAAGTTACACAATAGACCGTTTGCAATATTCTGCAAGTTGGCTTTTCTGTAAGGCTTGTTTTCCCACCAAAAACTCTCGTTCAAAGACTGCTTTTCTCCCTCATTGTAGATCGAAGGCACGCGACTGCAACACAATGAGTGAGAAAAGTAGTCTGTGAACGAGAGTTTTTGGTTGGAATACAAACCTTACAGAAAAGCCACCTTGCAGATTATTGCAAACAGTCTTTTTTTCAGAATGCTATAACAGGTGCCGTAGAATTGCGCTTATCTACATGGGCAGCCTGTGGGAAAGTGTTCTCAAATTTCAGCAGCAAAGCTCTTTATTATAGCACTGTCCGATACGAAAGGTATTTCTGGCTATTACATAACGGATAGCGACCAACTGGGCAGAGTATAACTAAACAATTGATACGACTGCTTACCTTTTGTGGCAAGGCAGCGCACTACAGCCTGCGACGTCTGTCGATCGAGCAAGTACAATCGCCACGATGTTGACGAAATTGCTACGGGGCACCGGTTCATGTACTATGTTGCCTTTCGATCGAGCAAGTGCAGTCACTGCAATGTTGACTAAATCATTACGGAGCAGTGGTTTGTGTACTACGTTGTCTACAAGAAAGCTGCACGATTTGTGAAGACAATGCATGGTGTAAGAAAGATACTTCTCAATCACTCAACCTCGCTCCCGCAAGGCGCTAGCTCTTCATGGCTAGCTTGAAAATCCGGCCTCACTGGCCGATGAAGCCGTGTTTCAAAAAGCTCCACTTCGACGAACTATGCCACCATAGAAAATCCCTACATCAAAAAATCCCCAAAAAACCTCCTTCTAGATACGGATTTTGTATGACAAATATACGCTCGCCGTGCCTGGATCCCTGGAATGATTGACGACGTAAAATACATGTGGCCAACATGGCCTCCATTTCTTACTGAAATTAGCACAACTGAGAAAATTTTTAGGCTGGAGGGGCATTTTGACACAGTGTGGTGCAATTTCGGCAAATTTCATCATTTTGGTACAGCTCAGTGCAAAAATGGGGAATCGTATCAATTTGATGCAATTGGCACAGCTATTGCACCCCTGGTTGGTTCACTGTCCCCTCAGTCGTGTTCACGAGGCTGAACCAATCTTGCATTGTTGGGCCTTGAGCATTAAACAAAACATGAGCTTAGAGGAAGGAAAATGTAGGTCATTAAAAGGACAGGTGTGAGAAGAGAGAGGACTTGTGAAAATATAAACGCTTTTTATTTTGAATTGGACCGACTACAGATAGAAGAGGGTGTCGTTGAGCGTTTCAATGTGCTCGTCGTGCAGTGACTGGCTGGCCAGGAAGGCCTGCATGTGGGCATACTGGCAGGGAGCTGGAACGCGGATGGTACCTGGCCAGTTGAAGTACAGGTGCGTCAGCTTGTACGCCAGACGCTGCATGTGGTCGAGCTTGAGGCCCGTCATGTCATAGAGGATGTTGTTGGGTGTCGAAGACACGGTGCCCAGGCGGCCACTCTGCGAAACCAGAAAAAAGTCGTAGCTCATGGGCCTCGTCACCTCTGAGTCGATGATGGTGCCCGGCAGCGGGTTGCTAAAGGTGCCGTTTGGCATGTGCGTGAAGAAAACGTCGAGATGCGCTTGGTGACCACGACAAAGACCAGCTTGGGCTTGACGCCCGCAAAAAGCGCCTCCAGCGAGCCCACGATCTGGTCAATCTCCCATTCACGCACTTGCGTGAAAGGACGTCGAATAGTTGGCAAACTGACCATGTGCTCACACAGGCATAAATTTTCTCATAAAAACAAAAAGGGGAACTCTGGCGCTGGTGTTTATGGGAGCTGCCATGCATGGCCCTTCAACCAGCATGTAAATGATGGGTAGTACACAAATTTGTCCAATTTTTGTACTTTCAGCTTCATGTGCCTTTGCATAGCATACCGCTAATTTGTGACAAAATGACAATTGGCAAATGTTTAAGCAATGGAACATAGCCACCATAACTTTTTAGGTTCACCAATGAAAATTAGGTCACGATGTTCAAAACTGTTAATTCTTTTATTCAAAACAAGACCAAAACACTGCAACAAACAAAGCCAAGTGCGTTAGAAGCCCCCAAGCAGAAAAATTGGGCAAATTTGTGTACTAGCTATCATTCTCATGGCCATTCAACGATCGTAGTGTCAGAGTCCTGTCTAGTTAATTTCAGGAAACTCTATGTACACAGGGACACAGAAAAAGGACAGTGAATCAATTAAGATTGATAAAATGAACTCCGAGAACTCTCATATGCTGACTTTCATCATCACAGACTCAGTTGAAGTGATGACATCACCATCACTTTCACTCTTCAAATGAATAAGACGAGATAATGAAACTGTGGAAATGAGGGGCATCAATCATATTAGTACTCACAATTATATGGCGTATACACACATCATTAATTGAACAAACTGTGCTGTATCTAGAGACTTCTACTATAAGCCCTTTCCGATCTAAAAACGCTTTTTGGTACGCCATCCGTGTACTGCGGCGAAAGTAGCTTAAGTGGCATTGCACACGAGTTAAAACAAGGCCAAGAAATTTTCGAACCAGCAACCCCCCCCCCCTTTTTTTTTATGTAGTGGTTAGGGTTAGGGCACAACGTCTCTGCTTGCTTGCAAGGCACGTTTGACCAGATAAAATAACAAGGGCATGCGCCTGTTAGCCTGACGATGGCACCGGATATCTATTGCATGTGGCGTTGCTATGGCAACTAACGTGGTCATGGCAGGAACTAAAGCTGGAAGTGTAAAACTCAACGTACTGCGAGTTTGTACACTTCTAGCTTCAGTTCCTAATGGTTCCTAACATACAATGGCCGCGCTTGCTGTCTAGGAAATTCTTATTTCTTACAACGTGTTGCTGGCTATGGCAACACATTTTAGTCTTGAACTTGCGTTGTCGTGCCGCCAAATATTCGCTGCAGTCAGCGGACAGACGGCCGCGCGTCGTTACTTCATCTGGTCAATCGCATTTTGCGAGTGTCTTGGCCAAATGAGCAGCTATTTTAAACTGTGGTTTAGAGTTAGGGTCTGCGCACATAAATTGATGACGCCAACTACAGACCCACATAAATTGATGACGCAAACTACAGGTGGCCAAAGTAGCTTCCATTTCTTGCTCAAATTAAGACAACTGAGAAAATATCGAGGCTGGTCAAGCATTTTGGCGCAGCGTAGCAAAATTGCAGCAAATTTTCTGGTTTTGGCGCCGCTCAGCGCACAAGTGAGGAATTCTATCAAATTGGCGCAATTGGCACAGCTGTTGCGCCCCTGTGCGTGTTTTTTACGGCACAGGTGCGCAACCATGTGCACGTGATGAAGACGCCATAGGAACCACTAGTGACGCTAGATGCTGCCCTGTGTCTCATATAACGATACGAGATTAACCAAAGCGGCTGCAAGTTGGTTGATTTGAGAAGGCCACCTCCACACTTTGTACATACGGCAGGCCTTTGAAAATATATATTTGTATAATAAATTTTCTCTGGCTGCCAGCAACAGCTTTCTGTTGAATGGCTAGCACAAATTTCAGGCAATTACTACTGCTGAACACGATACGATTGCAAAACTTATACCTTAAATCGGTATTTGATTAGCAAAGGCTCCTTTGATTACAGAACTCTGAGGTTACTGCAGCATACGCACAAGGAGCGCAGACTTCTGTCGAGTTCGCCTGCCAAGTGCATTTTTCCAACAGCACATGCACATTGGTACGTGCAAAAGTCCGTCAAAAATCACTACGTTGCCAAAAAGAACGAATTCGAATTGATTCTGAAATTTGAGTGGCTTGACCAACTACTAGAAAAAGCTAGGTGCACAAGAAAAATTCTACATGCCAAAATTGACGATCCAAAGTGCCGAAAACCGGTGATTGATTTGAATAGGCATGGTAACGAATGAGTTAAAAAGATTTTACTCTAAGAAAAGCAAAATGTAATCTACATTTCTGTATTAGGCCAAGCCTTGCTCAACACAAACCAACTTTCTCATATAATATACAGAGACTATGAAAAGCATCGCCACTCACAAGTTCAACTGTTAATTTAATACAGAGCACTTAGTGTGAACATGACGCACTCCCTTGCCTTCTTCAGAAGTGTAAAACGCTTGCGCACGCTAGTTAAGAATAGCAAAATAGTCTCTGCTCTGGACGCAAAGCTCACCACCAGGAAAAGCATGGTAACAACACTTGTAAAGCCTTTCCCAGTAATAGTGACATGATTTGACAAAAATCCTTAAGAAACCCCGTCTAGATGGCACCTTACCAATGTGTAATTGACGTTTTCAGTGAGGGGTGGTGAGGGAATGTATAAACATAATTCAGTGCTTCCTTTTTTTTAACATTGTATCATTTAGACAGCCACAACTTCCATATAACAAGCTCTCTACAAAAACACTCGCACAGGTACACCCACTGCCCAGCATTGAACAGGCAGGGCCTCGTTCAATGGCGACACAGTGGGGCCCAAACTCTGGCCCGCTGGGTGCCAGCCCAGTATTCTACCACTAAGCCGCGCGGGTGCTTGGAACTTGGTGGCAAACTTGCCTTAGGCAGGCTTGATGTCCGGAAAGCAATCGCGTTAATATGACTTATAAAGCATTTTAAAACAGCGAAAGAACAACCAGTCGTCACTCAACGCCTATAGCGTAACGAGTGGGTCGTCCAATGCTCCAACCCATTACAAAAGCTTGTTCTTATTCACGTATTAACTGTGGCGCATACCCACTTCACGCATAATTCCTCGTTGTCGTCAGCCACTGCATGAACAATTGGCTCAAAATTCCTTGCAAGTGTTTAGAAAATACCACACTTTTCGAAAGAATGATGAAAAGTAGGATAGCGAACGCCGGCCTACTATCAAAAAAAATTTATGAATAATGGCGTAGTAGGTATCGAGCAAGTGTGCTTTTAGTAGTTACCCAATGAGTGTTTAGAAAAGGCTCCGAAAGGCTGCTCCTTTAGCATTCGCTGTGACTGTGCTAAGCCTTACACGCAGACCTCGCATTTTTTGCTTAATTTTCTTGCCACTGTGCTTGCGTAACAAATAAGTAAAAAGGTTTCTCCTGTATGCAACAGATGGCGCTCTCCCGTAAAAGCGCGACCTTTATTTGATTGACGTCTGAGCTCGTGCTCCTCTCAACTGTTTAGCATGGTTGTTAAACTATGTTTTGACTTTTATTGTGTCATTATTTTGTTATGTAATGACTTGATTTAATGCTGTTTCTATTATCAATGGTATGGGTTATCATACTGAAATAAAATGAAAAGATACAATTAAAGCTTTCTTTTTCGAAGGACCAAGTTGGTCGAGTGGGTTCATTACTAGAGCAAATACGGTAATACATTTCCATCATTATAAGCAAGCTTTCAGGAGAAGGTGAAAGCTTGAAGAAATGAAAAAATTATGAACATGGTATATCACCAAAGTCGACGTTCCAACAAGCAGACTTTTCTTCAGGTGCAGTTGCAGCGTTAAAGAAGACAAGTTCGCTTGTCATAATGTCACCTCCAGCAACACCCCGTGTTCACTAATTAGGTTTCATTTGCATCATTACACAGTAGATAACATGAGACAAAGGTATGTCATTGGTGCAAAGAATAGTCACGATGCTCACCTGAGGGATCTGGCCATCGGAGACACCGTCGCGAAAGATTATGATGCACTCGGGAGAAGCGCCTAGGTTTGCCTGAGCGTCCTTGCCCAGGCAGTCCCGAAGGTGCTGCGTGAGCATGATGCCAAGCTCCTCGTGTGTGGAGGAAAATGACACACGTGAGTACCAGCGCGTGACGGTCTGGTTCATGCTGGCAACGAAGACACCCGCCGTGCGGTTGCGCGAGCCGGCGTTGTGGTATGCGTCGAAGCCCATGACGATCGTATTTGACAGCGGTATGTGCAGGCACCAAGCCTCGCCGCCCAGCTTGCAGTTGAGCTGAATGGCCACCTTGGTCGCCACTGAGTGTATGTTGTTGCGGTTCTCGATGGTGCGAGAGAGGATCACGTGCGAGAAAGTGATACAATTGAAATATATCACAGTTCGCATGTGTGATAAAGGTGGCGCTATGTTATTCAAGGCTTTCCTTTCTATTATCATTTTGAAATGAAGCGCTTTAGTTTGCGGCAAGTTCAGGAACTGCGTACAGGCGATCATGCCGATTCCTTTCTCATTCATATTTTTTCGAAAGCTGCGTGTCAATGACTTTTCAATACTGCTTAAAGCCTGTATGTATGAATATGTGGAGTCAAAGAAGGCTTCCGTGTCTCAGCTTTGAAGTGTGCAGTAATCTTGTCGTTTTGCTTTCGTATGTGTGTGGCCACAGCCTACCGCGCGAGATATGACATTCGTCATAGTGTGACAGTGAAATGTGGTGCGTCTTCGATTCTGTGCGGTGTCGTCCACATCAGTGAAATGGTGCACGAAAAAAGAAGGCACATTGTTGGACGACCGGAATACCGAAATGCCTCAAAAAGTGCGCGTTTGTGATTTCCTTGAATATTACACAGCAATATACTTGAGGGAAGGCTGTGTCACAAACGACTGCAGTATTCGTTTCGCCCGCACGCCCCATCATCCAAGGAAGGGCGATCTTGTGTTGGGAAGACGACATCTGGCGACTAACGAAGCAGCAGCGGCGCCGCCGCGTCTTTTCTACACTTGCACCGAATGGAGAGACATGTGTTCGTGGAAAGACGAAACGACCTCTAGAGGGGACGGGACGTCCCAAAAGAGTTTGGACAGCATCGGAATCCGTAGTTGTAGTGCAACCAGCAAGAAGCGTGGTCGTCGGTGACACGACGCTTGTGTAGGCGGCGAGTATGGAGTGACCCGCGCAACGTATTGAGACAGCTGCATTACCGGGCACCCTCGTCGTCTACTAAGCTGGCGAGATCTTCAGCCGCACCCTTCAACTCCCCTACGTGTACGAAGAGCTGGCCTGGTCCGTATGCAAATTTTATTGTGCCTTTTTCAACTGTTACTTTATTAAAACCAGCTTTTCAACATTGCACATGCGTGTGCTGCGACACTCGTAGACGTTCCGAAGCGCGAGCGTGAGTTTTTTCTCGTGGTTTTTTATCTCTTTTAGTTCCATCATGTCATTATTTTATTAACATTTCATTTATTTGTGTTTTGTTTATACTTGTTGTAGTTCTTCTTTCATCGCATATTAGTGTTTTTTCCTCTGTTCATATTATAATCTCTTGCCTATTGCCCTTGTTTTAATTAAATGCTTGTTTGTATTTAAGCTAATGTCCGTGTCTGCTCTATGAGTACATCGGTCAGGCTCTACATCACCACACGTGCAACCCCTCACAGGTCGACTGACCTGCAAATAAGTTTGAGATGTACCACTTCGACACTTTCCAGGCATCGCAGGTCGAAGCGTAAAGTAGAAGCCTGCGAGTCTGCCGCACGTCAATGTTAGATCGAAGGGGCCTCAAATAAGTGTGTGACAATGCTGTTCTGTATAAATACAATCTTGGTTGTATAATAAAATATCACGTGCAACAGAGTATGAAATTCGGAACTTTTCTGCTTGCCAATCTCATATTAGCTGGGAGAAAGTGCAGAGTTTATTCCTATTTGTGACCAAGTAAGTTGTGCAATCATGCTGTAAATGTGCATGATAAGGGTGTTCTGCTATTTGCAGGAGCCTTGTTTTTCCTATCAGACACCTAGGAGAAAGAAATGATTGTATAATTTTACTGTGTTTGCCATTTCAATGGAAAGTGAGCTTACTCAACATTTCCTGCAGCAAATAATTTCTTGACCTGGAGGCTGACTACCTTCTGAAGAGGGTGATTAACAGCTTTAAGATTAAATCAATAGAAATATAGTTAATTATATTACAGCATGTTTCGAGTTCCCGTGACAGTCGCAATGATGGAAAAAGGGAGTGGCCCAGTATATTAGGGCAGTTTTCACACCATCGCGCTATTCCCCAAGTGCAGTGTTAGATGACGCGAAAGATATGGCCACAGCCTACCTCTGAGGTGACATCGGTGACAGACATCTGGTCGAAGGAGGCCGAGAGGCTGCTGACCTGCAGCGAAAGTGTTGATGAGGCGGGCGAGGCCATCTCTAGAGTTATCGATGTTAGAGGATGCAGAGAAGCCATGGCACGAGCCATAGTTACCTAGAAGGGCATGGCATAATGCGGCTGTCTATACATGCAGGACTCAAGCAGCTCAGCATGGAAGACTGTGCCTGGCCGAACAGCATGCTGCCCAGGTGCCACTGTAGGCGGCCTCGTGCTCGGCTGGAGAGTTGTGGAACAGATTCACTTTCCGTGGCAGCTGATGTGGGGAGGAAGTTTAGAGCTCTAGGCAGCAAGATTCGCAAACTTTGCATGCGACATGCACACTACTTTTTGCTGCACCCAATCAGAGTCCTTACTGTCGCAGTAAACATGCATGGACATGCGTGTTGTCTGCAGCAAGTGTCGTCAGGTTGTTTCCCCCCTGAATGCAACAATGAAGGAGATTGTAGGAGGAGCCATTGCGCACTTGACAAGGCGGTGGCACTTTTTCTTGCATGGTACAAGCTTCAAATACATGCTTCCAAACCACATTTAGCCATATTAAGTCATTTATTGCAACTGGTTCTTAGTTTCTTCAGTTACTTGTATTTTTTATTAACCCTGTCACACAGCACCTGTAATGTCATTCGCTGCAAATGACATTAGTCGATGTCATTTTTGTTGCTGCTATATACCCGGGCATAGTGAATGACATTCACACCTAATGGCACTCGCTGGTTGAATGTATTCTCCGAACTCAGGGAAGCGCAACATGTGTTCTTTTGTCAACAGGTTCTTGAAGAGAGATTACAAAATCGACATCTTTAAAGAAGTGGAAACCATGTTCAGATGATGATTAAAAGTTGTTGCTAACTTTTCTGTAACTTTTGAACGTGCAACACGTAAGTGGAAGGCTTTTGTACAGCTATATCCTTTTTCCCAGGCTTTGAGCTGACGTACGACACCTCCTGTCGGCCATGTTTACAAAGGCTCGCTGTTATTTTGGTGCTTCCTCACCGCGTTAGACTCGCTAGTAGCATAATACACATGTATACAGTCGTCAGCAAGCTTAAAACAAACGCTCCGCAGCGTGTCCTTAAACGGCTTGATCGGCGCTAGCGCCACGTAGTTTTCAGTTCCGTTGCCAATATACTACCCATGCGTGCCAACATGCTATCCAAGCATACCGAGGTTATTATATCAGGAACAGCGCGCACAGATTTGCGGCTGGTATCAGTTAAAGTTACCCAGCCACATTAATGCCCACAAGTTCGCTCTCTTTCCTCGCACAATTTTTCATTGGAACGCATTACCTGCGGAAGGAGTGAATGCTGCCTCGACGGCTTCATACACTCAACAGAAAGAAAAGATTAATTTCACCATATATGTGATGTATGCTGAAAATAGTTTCATTTGAGTGCAAATCATCCGGCTACAAATGTTGAAAATATTCTTAGTTGAGCGCAGTTCTGTTGAACAGCGAGAAAATATATTCGACTTTTCTGTACTTGATAGTTATGTATTCTTTCATTTATGCCCTGTACTCCAGTGTATTACTAGTTATTGCTTGAATGTATTGTTTGTATCCCACTCCTGCATGGGCCCGGGTAGGGCCTGCAGTATCTGTAAATAAATAAAAATAAATTAAGTAGTTCACGTCACGCATCAGAGCGTTCGTGTTAAGCTTGCTGACGACTGTACATGTCGGACACCAGTTTAGGGAGAGTGTATTCGGACCAATTTTTTGGGGGGGGGAAGCACCGGAGTTCTCTGCTATTCACTGATGAAGTCGAAGCTTAAAGAACAGCCGAACGAATGGATGCATAGGCACAGCTCCAAATCCCTCGTCGTCTGTGATCTTTCTTCGATATCAAGCTTGAGGCACTCAAGTCGTTCTGAAACTTCAATCGCAGCAGCACGAGAGCAATCATCATACATTTTCACTCATCTTAGTTCATCGAGGTAACAAATTTATGAACGCTGTCACGGTTTCAAACATTACCAACTGCAGGTTGTGAGAGGCTTTAAGCTAGTCTTGCTTTGATATGAGGATTTTTTTATACCAATGGTGTTTTATGTCGATGTAAATTATCAACCAGCTGGACAATGCTATGTAAACTTAATGCGTGATTGGTAACTTTTTGGTAAAATAGCAGCCTGCCGATAAACACCGACATCAATTGCGAATGTCATTTCATGTATTCACATAGCCGTGAAGACCCGGAATGCAAGATCCTAATGGCATTATTTTTTAATGTCATTCACTGCAAATTACAGTACACATGCGATGTGACAGGGAGGGCTATAAGACATTATTTATTTTAGCACGGTTCTGACCACTGCTAGCATTGTGTTGGCCCTACGTTGAGCCCTTGCGCATGATCATGCAACATGACGCTGGACGAAAAGCTGGACACTTTAAAAGTGCTATGCACTGAACACAATATCCTGTGCTTCTTGAAGATCTGATACTGCAAATTCCATAGTGTAAGTCAATTTTTGGCTGAATTGTGAGGCACTGAACTGTCCTTCTAAGCCAGAAAAAAGGCAATATATTTATTTTATTGCAGGGCAGTGGTCTGACTTGCACCTGTGTGGCTCATCAGCCTGCATTTTCAAGCATACTATAGAATTTTTGAGGCCCCGTGAAGAGATTTTTCAAGATTAACGGCACCAAGTGGTATCCAATGTAACAATTCTCTACTACAGCAGTATTTCCAAGATCAAGATAGTATGCTTGGTCATATTGAAGTCATATTGTCTGCAAAGTTACCAATAAAAAACAAATAGTGGAATTGATCTCAAACTGGTGCGTCATTAACATGATGCCCTAATAATATGCCACACCATGCAGGGTACGCACAGTGCGACAAGTACGAAGCCAACGTGTGCGCAACGCAGCCGGCCTAAATGACGCTGTCGCGTCAAGTCCGCACATCTGTGGGACTACAACACGGCATCGGTATTTATCAGTACCACAACAGTTACGAGAACGTTCACGAAACGTTTTACACTATTTAGAAGTCAGCGCTGTGCAGCCAACACTATAGTCTGATTCGTATCACGGGGCAGCGTTGCGCGAATTGAAAAGCACGCTGCTTTACCAACCTATCGATGATTCGACAAACGCCCGATCTCGTGATAACAGAAAAACACTACGCGTCTCTGAAACATTTAACTGCATCGACGCGACTCTGGAATATCCTCGATGCTGCCAGTTAAACGGGGAAACGCAGCGTTCAACGCACCCCGCAACACTGCAGTGGCTCGTACAAGCGAACGCACCGAGTTAAAACCTTTCGGTAAGCGCGTATTTGCTTCGTTATCGATACGCTTCCTATCACGAACGAGTTACTACAAAACGTCATGATCTATTGGCAGTCTTTTCTCATGCAGACACGCACACCTTCGTTTGAGAACGTGAACAAAGGAATCGGCAAGCAATTCGCACATTTCATGTTAAAATATTTCACTTCTCAGACACGCACACCATTGTTTACACATTGAGAACGTCTACAAAGAAATCGGCAAGCAATCCGTGGATTTGGCGTTAAAACATTACACTACTGGTTTTCCCGACGTCTCGGTCTTGAGGATCGATTCAGCATCGCGGCCACGTATCGCAAATCATCGCTAATTTTGAAACTCACCTTTCGAGGAACGCGACACGTCGGGCACACGAGAGTCAACGAGCGGGCTGTAAAATCCAAAACACATCCACCAAAACGGGTCATTCGTTTGTCTGAGATGAATACGAGCGCCTGAAATGACTTACCTTTCCATCGACCAGGTCGTTGGAGAATCAGCCTAGCTTAAAATGGCGTCGAAATGTAGGAGTTTAAAGTCCCTGAAAAATAAACTAAAGTAGCGCCAACCGCACCCCTTCGCCTCTACCTCCTCTCCCAGCAGCCACAGCCGCGCCTCTAGAGTGTTCACCAAGAAACTACGAATGCGAAAGCACGCGGGCGCACTGGATGTGCCAGACGCTTGGGCAGCTCGGGCACTGCTGCGCCGTGCGTTTTTCATCGAGCGGCCGTGCCTCGGGTATGCTGAAAGGGTACGCCGGTGGCGTCTGTTCGGGGAGCGCGCGCTCGCTTCACAGAAGCAAAGTCTACGGCGGCCATCGTTCCGAGATTCTTCATTGCTGCCCCAGCGTGTGTGCGGCGTTGCTAGTATTTCGTATTCGGTACACTTCCTTTGCATTTCATTCGTCGCTGAACAGTTCTGTGTATCGTTAGTGTGGTGACATTACTCGTTCGTTCGTTGGTCGATTCGAAGGAATAGAAAGCTAGCTACCCCTTGCAAAACAGGCAATGGATCGTTCTACGTTTTCAAAGCAAGCTTTTTTTGCGAAGAAGCCAACCTTTCTACTGTAAAAAAACTACGAAAGCAACTATGACTTTGGCACGCTCTTCTTGGACCGTCGTTACCGAAAGCTTTAAAAGGTCGCCGCAGCAGTATTTAATACAGCGCCGTGCGCAACCGAAGGAAAGACTCAGATATACGTTGTCGGTGCGGAGCCGACCAGTTCGAGTTCACCGTCAATTGCATGAAGCGACTGCGTGGGCGAGTTAGGCCATGTGATACTACTGGCAAGTGCTGACAAAATCAGGTCACATGGTCATGCTGATTCTTTCTTTGGTCTGTGACGTTATATGCTGCTCGCATTATTCGATGTACAGTAATTTAAACAACTATTGTACATCGTGCGCGTATATTGACAGACGTGGCTTGTTACAGTCCGCATAGAAGGTATATTGATATGTAAACTAGTGTAAAACTGGGTTAGTTCGCTCATATTGGAAAAAAAAAAGAAAGCGCAGCTGTGGAGGCAATAGAGCCCATAGAAGTAATACGTAAGACAGGTGGTAAACTGATTGATATGTGGGGTTTAACGTCCCAAAACCACTATATGATTATGAGAGACGCCGTAGTGGAGGGCTCCGGAAATTTAGACCACCTGGGGTTCTTTAACGTGCACCCAAATCTGAGCACACGGGCCTACAACATTTCCGCCTCCATCGGAAATGCAGCCGCCGCAGCCGGAATTTGAACCCGCGCCCTGCGGGTCAGCAGCCGAGTACCTTAGCCACTAGACCACCGCGGCGGGGCAGGTGGTAAACTAACGAAATACTATCTAAAGAATACAAAAAAAAGGTAGCGTTCACGCATGCATAGTGCTTTTTAGCATCTCTCTCTAGCAGCTGAATGCGCAACCCAACAAATAAAACATATATGAAGACTGAACTTTGTCCTTTTTCCCTGCATTTCTCTTCTATCTGCCAACGCGTTTGAGAGTTTAACCTCCTCGACAGGACCTAAAAATCTGCATACAGGGGGTGCATGCAGCCCGACCATACTAGCATTTGCGATTGCTGTAAAACATATTCCAATTGGAGACTTGCAGTTGTTAGTCCAGCATGTGTCTAATGAAATTTTCTACCTATGTTCTCGTCCATGCCTTTATTGTTTTAATAGGTGTGTTAAAATATAAGCAATAAAAATGAGTAAGCATAGCTTGCTCCATAAAGAATAACGCATCTGAAGCTACTTGGTTATTATTATAAGGTACGAACAGCTCGCATTTCACAAGGACAGAGGTTGGGGTAGTGCGATAATGTGCATAATGTTTCTCCTCTGTGTTCTGGTGAGGTCCATACCGTTTGTGTCCAGTGTTACATGAAGTTCCTTCTTTGCACATATGATTGTCCCCATTGTTTAAGCAGAATACATCTCTCTTAGAATAATGTTTTACACTTATATACCAGCTCTAGGCCACTCAACATCCATCACACCTCGGTCTTCCTGGCATGAATACATAAGAATGACTGCGTCTCGGAAGGCAGCATTGAGTAAACACGTATACTTGGGATGTTCATGGCATGACATGCTTATGCATGTGCCATCATAATAGCATGCAATATGTCGAGCGAACAAAGGGGCCTGGTATTCATTAGGAAACCCCATTCCATAATGTCACTTTATTGATAAACACCAAAGTTCAAGTACAGTTGATTCTATGCAAAAACTGAATGAAGGGCACAAAACATGACATTTATTCAACATTTCATGAAAATGCAGGACTGCCTCAATCATACATGATAATTATGCAGTGTACACAATAAATGACATGAAATATGTGTTAACGGTGACTTGTTGCTATACGTGCACATCACAATGACAAGAGTAAAGAAAAGCGATGGCATTCGTGGTGCACTCACAACTAGCGACAAGTGGACGCAATTTGTGCCAAACACCTTTATCAAGATTAACACTCCACATGTGGAATTTAGCGAATGAAACGAAGTACACATATTGAACCTTTGAAAGCACAGGAATAGGAAGTAGACATGGAAAGCCCCTACTGGGGATATGCAAAACATATTATGCAGATATGTAGGCATGAAACAGGACATACACGTAAAAGACATAATAAAACAGATGTAATAGGCACAGCAAAACTACGGACCTAATCATAGACTAGTGAGGGTAACGACAGCTCTATCTGAAGAGAAGAAGAGCGAAATGAGCCACTAAAATAGAGGCCAACCCAGATGTAGTTGGAATAAAAACACACGAGCTTATAATTGCCCTCAACAACAAGTGCAAAGCTGTAAAATCATAGGGCAACAATAGCTTCAGCCTCAAGACAACAAGAGGAAAATCAGTCACAGGCCAACCTAGCAGAAGACAAAATAAAAATACACGAGCTTAGAATTGCGTTTGGCAAGAAATGCAAAGCAAAGAGAGGAAAAACGAGAAAACAGACACAGAGGCAATGAACAAAACCATTACTACACTGACATCTGAAGCAGAAATTTAAGGCGGTTAACCACCAAGGCAGAAAGTAAGCGAAATTTCCCGAGTGACGACAAACATAATGAAAAACAGGGACACTTGACACAGAATATTAAAAATAGGCTTAGCTAAGTTAACAAAGCTTCTCATCAAGAACTCTAGTCACACAGAATTGCAACGTAAATGAGATCGAGACACCACCCAAGCTACTTAAAGGGAACTGCTTATAAAGGACCAAATGTACACACAAACAAACAGGGCAAACATGTTAGAAATTTCAATGACATTATGACGGCAACTGAAAACATCTGCTCTGAACTGTACGGATCAAAGATAAGTACCTAATCACTGTTGAAATGAAATCACAATAGGACAAAACACTGCAGTTCCTCATGTACGATACTTGGGGATTCAAACGCAACATAAATTTTTGGGGGATAACTGGTATGCACACCTGCTCGAAATAACCACGTCATGTCGTGATAAATATAGTCTAAGAATAATTTTGGCTCTGATATACACGTTCTAGTCGAAATTACGCCAATATCACCCGAACTTAACGCAGTGTCAACAAAAGTGTGTGCGTTACCGAGACCATAATTCCTGCATTTCAATCCGTGAGTACTGTACCTACAGACTAGGTTAAGAGGCCATACCACATATGCATCATAGAAAAACGGAAGGAAAACACGAAAGAAATGAGGCATACACACTATTTTACATTGGTTGTAGCAGCCTGCTTTCCAATGCTACGACTACCAGTTTTTGCATCTTTAGCTTCATCAGCTGCCAAACGCATATTCTCTTTCCGCAGAAGAATGTTAATTCTGGTTTTAAAAAATGCTCTCAGCAACCTCTCCTGAATGTTGTGGCAAGGAGGAAAACAATTGACAGCTTGCACACTGTCATTAGTGGTGGCCACAAGTTGACCAATCGTAACTTCATTGCACAGAAGCTTGTTGCTATTCACTCTAAACATATTCTCAGCTGTTTCGAGCAAATGAAGTACTGCTGGCCCTGGTGATACGAGCTTGCTGTCATCAGTGTAGGATTTTAACTTTGTGAGCACACTAGCTTCGTTCGACACTGTGGCTGTTTTGCACTGCTCACAAATCCCTGTGTGCTTTGCAACACTCTTTACCACAAACCCAGCAAGGTAAATAAAAGACTCGTGCTCCATCATGCTTATGTCGAGAAGATCACTGGGATATTCAACAGCTTCTGTATCATTGCTGTTAGGAACTCTTGCGTGGCAATTTTCGATGCCAACTAGGGAACGAGCATCGTCGATAGCATAGCTTCCACTTCTACTGGGCCGAAAGAACTGTGCCAAAGTAGCAGCTCGAATAGCACTACGAAATTGAAGAGCTTTTGGTACTGCATTCTTCGCCCTCAGAGTGGAGAACAAATTCTCAAGAGCATCTTGGGCAAATCGGCTGAGCAAAACAAAAAAAAGCCCTTCTCATTAAGATAATAATGCTGCAGTTCCAATGCAACTTTACACACCAAAATTATGCCCGTCTGCACAGGCTTCCACACGTGTTTCGATATAGAGCGTATCTTCAGATCTGTAAAAAGAGTTACCATATCCTTTAAAAAAATCAGTGAGTCCTCATATTTCTGATCATTTAACTTGCTGATGCCAAGCTTCGTTGTACGTGATGTCAGTACTTTGAACCACCTATAAATGGTTTCTATGAACCATGCTGTTAACGCTTCTTGGGGCAAATCTCCCCTTTGGACCAGGAAACGTAGTGCAGCTGCAGTATCGTGATTTAGCAACGAAAATGCAGGCCCCACTTTCATTTTCTCATAGTGTCCTGGGTCCAAGAAGGATGGTTTCAAGTGCGGTGCTATGTTTAATTGCAGTTCAGAGTCTATTTCTACCAGCTTCTGAATCGGCACAAGGTTAACCTCATTCGAAGGCAGCTTGTGCTTTTCGACCACATTTTCGGGAAGGAAAATCGATTGACCACGTGTGAGGTGGTTCCTCGAGTTCTTTAGCAAATGTGCGGTGTCTGCCATAAAATAAAGCTTGCGATTTTGGTCAACAGGATGACAACAAGAAACTCTTGACACAGAATGCTTTCCCACAACTATGCCAAATTCTCTCCAGAGCGCCATATTCCCACCACCCATGTCGCTAACGACTGCATCTATACGAACCCCGATTGTTTCACATTCCTGAATAATTTCAATCAACTGTTCTTGAACTGCAGCACTGCTGAACGAGTTTCCAGTAAAATGATAAGAAACTGTCTGCTTCCATCTTTGTGTAGCCCCACCCAGCATAAAAACAAGTCCATGCGTTGCCACTGCAGCATGTGGCAGAACACCGTCGGCCAAAGGTAAAGTTGGCCTTCCAATAACAGTGCCAGTCGTTTGGTCAAACGCAAGCCCTGAGCTCAACTGAATTTCATCGAGCATCAGAACTGCATGCCTCTCATACTCCTTCATGGTGGTTATCTGAAATATGCAACATGCATTAAGCAACAAAGGCATTAATAAAGACATTTAAAATACAATGTTTTCCAAGAATAAACAGGCAGTGCACAGTGCAAGCTGTATTTCGATGTTTGCATGCAAGAAGATTATTACCTATTAAAATTTATGTGGAATTGTGTCTATTAGAGGACCTGAAGTCATAAGTGAAGGAAAGGTGAGAATATGTTGTGGAAACTTTATGATTGGCCGCTAAAACGTGCACGACAAAGAGCGCAGTGACAGGCACTAGCAACACATGAAAGCTTAATAAATATTAGGGTTTACGTACGAAAACCATGATACGATCATGAGACATGCCATAGTGGAAGGCTCTGGAAAAGGTTTCACCTTTTGCTCAAGGTGTACTACTGAAAGAGATGCTCACGAGAATAAATCTAACAAGTATATTCAGCTACACCATCCTTTCACCTTTAAAGCAAGGGACTTCAGAACCTCATGTAGAATTCCTGGTGAGAACTTGTAGTTTTCAACACGACGTTGTAAAGTTCTTTCACTCGGAAGGGGTACAGCAGGCTCCCTGACCGCATTGTAGCCTCTGGATTCACATGCCAAATGGAGCTTGAGGCCTTTCTGTATAGTCTCTGTAGACCATTGCTTCCCTCGCATACTGGAAGTCCACATGCCTTGCAGTTGATCTGGTGACAGGTACTTCTTGATGTTTTGCGTGAGTTCATGGTTTCTACGGTTTGCTCTGCTTTTCTGTTGTTGCAGTGTAGCAACTTTCCGCTTCATGTTGTTCAAGCACTCTTCCAATGTAGCTATTCTTTTGTGAAGGGCAGCTACTACTGCTTGATCAGCATCCCAACTACTTGAACTGGAGCCTGCAAAGCACAGAATGAGCAGGAAGTGACAAGAGTTTGAAACACAGACTAGCATGTGAGGGAGAACCATAAGGATTTAAAGAAACAAAAAATCAATGCCACTCCATATTATTCAGCAGAAAAGTGTAAGCGTAACCTTTTGAGAACACAACAGTGGTTTTAACAAACAACATAAGCTGACACTGTTGCTCAATGAAGAGGGATAAATGGAGCTGCGCAGAACCCGCAATGCATGCAGCTGAACTATTTTTTTGGTGGGGGCGTGTCCTTGATCCGAAATAGGGGCAGGACAGTCAAGTGTGGTCACGTCTCACTTTGTACTCTGCGTGTGAAGGCAGCAAGACATTTTGGGAGCAGCAAGTGTTTGGTGTACCACCTCCTAGCTATGCCAATAGTTAGTAATGAGTAAAGACATGAATATATGGCACGTACTCTCGGTTATGACGTAGAGTTATCAATGGCGGTGGCTATTTCAAACAAAGTGGGGAGTGCCATGGTTCCACTGTTGTAGCTTTTTTTGACAGAGTTGCTACAAGACGGCAGCTGATTGCGTGTCACAAGTGATAGTGTGATGATGTTGCGCAGTGTGTGGCAGTGTGCTATGCATTACTGTACACAAAACACAGCTTACATGTTCCTCCAATAAACTTACGTTGTGTGCGACTACTCTCGCTTTACAAGAACGAGCATACCAGCAAAAGAAACAAAACAGGGCCCCAGTACTTGGAGCACATCCGCACTATTAAATGCACCAATATATCAATCTGTTATGAGCGTGCACGTAATTTCCTGTAGGCGGCGATGTGTCACACTCAAGTGTATATTGCATAGTGTGTGAGAACAGTAGCACTGAACACTTACCGGTGACATCAGCTGTGCCCTCAGCAGACAGAAATCCTCCACAGGCAGCACAAAAGTTCTGCTGAGCTGTAAATGACGGATAATCTTATTAGTAGTACTGAAGACCGGTACAGTCACCAAAGCTTTAAATTAGCACAGTTGCAGCACAGGCTATGAGGGATGGCCAGTGACTAAAATTAAAAAATGTATATGATACTGAACATAAATTTCACTCACACTCAACAGGCACCGTCAAAGCTTGAAATGGCTGGCAGCTCGATTCATGGGTGGTTTCCACACCTGCGCACATATGATAGTTGGAACCAACAAAACCATCTGGCAGACACATGCCTATACAAATCATGAAAAGTAGCACTCACCTGCTGAACAAGCTGGCAGTGCGTCACATTCGGAACTTGAAGGTGCATCTGCCACATGTGATAAACAATAAATTATGTGAAATTTCAAAGCAACATGTCACTGCCATTACCTTCTGGAAAATCCGATGGTGCTGAATCAGTGGCAGTGTGACCTAAAAAAGATAAAGACAAATTGAAGAAGACCATCATCTCTGTTACATCGCATTTTGGCAAACAAGCATCAACGCTACTTGAAGCATTTACAATACGCACAGGTGCATTACAATTTTTCAGTAATAAGAATGCATGCCAAAACCCAAGCGACAATGCTTTCAATGCTTGTAATGTGCTGAACACCATACTGCGGAGCAAAATGTTGTGGATCTGCAGCACACCCCTACAGACATGATTGTAAAATATATAAACCAATGGATACAAGTTACAAGCCGTTACAATGCTTCGACTACATGCAGCATGTGCGTTAGCTATGTTACCTTGTGAAGAACCTAACCCTGCTTGAGTGGCATCACTGTTGGCTCCATAGCCTGCAAATTATAAAACATCAATGAAGGCATAAAACACGTTTGTAATTACGGTAAGTAATAAATGCAGTAAGAATTCACCATCAACAGCAGCTGGTGTCAGAAGCACATTCGTAGCTGATGGGCAGTGTGTCTCTTTGGCTTCTGCATAATCCAAACATGTATTAATGATAACGAAGAGGGAAAAGGCATGAGATGTGCTTAACCGTCAACTCACCATCAACAAGAGCAGCTGCTGTTAGTAGTAGATTAAGGCCACAAGATGAGCGGGCTGAATCATTGCATTCTGGAGAATGAAAACAAAATGCATTAATTATACCAAAGAAAAGCCATTAGCTATACACAAACACTGCACAACACCTATATGCAAGACGACATGTTTCAGGTTAGTGAAAGACGGACTAAACATTCTCCAGTTTTTTAACGCGATTGGCTTACCTGACGTTTGCAAATGCTCTTGACTGAAGATCGTAGGCGCCGCGTCTCTCTTCAACTTTTTAGTACCAAACTTGCGCAGCAGTACGGCTCGAATTGGTCCGCAGTGAAGTGGTCCTAGGTAAGGAAATATTCGCGGCTACTGTTACACAATGAAACAGCACGCTCTAAAAGAAACTAAAATAACCTTTAGTGTCAACACGTACACAACTACGCACTGTTTGCCACATTCTCTTCCCACCAGACTAGCACACGGTGTGTACAGTATGTAGAAATATGCACCATTTAGCTTTGCGTGTCCTTATTTCAACCACAGAGCTTCTGAATACTGAGCGCGCTGGAGCACATTAAACGAAATAATGCGACATTCAGGTCACTGCCCACGCCTTTATACATAAAGTCCTTACACCCATACACACATACACGCGGGAGTCATTTAACTATACCAATAAACTATGCCAATTGGCATAGTATACCAATTTACTATGCCAATAAACAAAGCTTAGTTTAGCACTTGAATGTATCCATTACATTTACTTTGTAACATAGTCGACGATTATTTCTGGATCAAACGAGTAATAATAATAATAATATCTGGCATTTAACGTTCCAAAACCACAATTTGATTATGAGGGACGCCCTTTTGGAGGGTTACGGAAATTTCGACCACCTGGTATTCAATAACATGCATATAATGCTAAGTACACAGGCCCCAACATTTCCGCCTCAATCGAAAATGCAGCCGCCGCGGTCGGCATGGATCAAGCCAGAGACGCAACGGGCAAGGTTCCTTTTGGCGTTGCATAAGTCTGTTGCCAGACTTTGGGGTGGTTGTTGCCAGACTGCCGCTAAATTTGGCTGAAAAGTTTTCTCCTGTAGTTTTGGCTTCTTCATAAGAGTTTGGTCTATCCGCGGTGCATTTCTTGGCTAAAAATGTTTCTCCTGTAGTTGTGGCTTCTCCGTAAGAGTTTGGTGCTATCCGCGGTGCATTTTTTTGGCTGAAAATTTTTTTCCTGTAGTTGTGGCTTCTCCGTAAGAGTTTGGTGCTATCCGCGGTGCATTTTGCGAGTGCATGAGCGATGCTGGCCGTTTTTATTATCGGAATGAATCGAGCCTAGCAGAAGTCGAGCGTGGTGCTGCCATGCAATTAAGAGGCCGTTTTAATTAACGGAATGAACCGAGCCTAGCAGAAGTCGGGCGCGGCGCTGCTGCGCAATTAAGAGGTCGTTTTAATTAACAGAATGAACCGCGCATTACAGAATTCATTTTAATTAACGGAATGAACCGAGCCTAGCAGAAGTCTAGGCGCGTTCTCTTGCTGTGTGCGCAGCTGTGCGATTAAGATATCGCGTCTCAGTATTAGGGATTACGGGGAAAACTGAATAGAGTCGCAGGAGGTGATGCGCTGCCCCCCTCCCCCCTTACTTTTTTTTCCTCTCTCAGCTGATCGTGTCGCGTCGACCGCGCGCTACGACGGGGGACGCTACGCTTCCCCTAGCTGTGTCAGCACAAGACATATCGTTCGGACTCGTGTATACATGTGATGAATAAGCGTTCCAAGGCTGGTTAATCGGGGTATGTCGGATATGCTACAGCTATGTACGCCTAGAAGGCTGCTTTATCGAAGCAGATGGAGCGAATTAAGCGCGACTTGCGCGTACCTGTAAATGGGACCCGGCCGACGAGCCACCGTCGCTTACAGGGCCCCACCCACAATAAGCACAAACTACACAAATTCCAAATAATGATTGTGTATTGTTTCTCAGCTCAAGAGCTTAGTATATAACAATAAGAATAAAATGACATAATAAACATAATAATGACAATAATAATAATACAACGTGACAACATAAACATGAGAATAAAATGACAATATGTCTCACTACGCGCTAATCACATATAAACTGGATACCGGCGAGCAATTACCTCCAATAATCAAAGAAAAGGGTCTTTCACGTTGGGACGTGCGTTAATTGATCTCCACCAAAGCCAGGCGAGGTGATACGGAAAGTGAGGTCGCCTTGTTGCTGTTGCGAACGAGACAGCGCTTGACCTTTTGCCATTCACTTTCAATCCTTTGCGTGTTGGCGCCTGTCATAGGATCAACGAAGTTGACACTGTGGTTCACGGTGTGCCAGTCCAAGTTTAGCGGTGTTCCATTGGCATCCACAAGTCTGGGTATGCACTGGTACGCGGCCCACTCTGTACACCGTCATCCCGGGAAGAATGTGCTGCCGGTCGAAGCGATGGCGCAGGCGACAGTCCGATTTCACGAAGGAAGGCCTCTTCCGCGGCAGGGTACCTTATGATGTCGGCGATTTCGACAATGCTGGGGTCTATCCGTGGCGTGCCACGAACGTTTCCTGCACTGGTAACAGTGTAGCTTGCATGGCTAACGTTACGGCATTTTATAAGGGTCATGAGGTGAAAGGGGGATAGAGCACTCTCACGTTGACAGGGCACCTACGTGATGCAGCATCAGCGGGGAAAGAGGGGGTGGGTCACGGCGCCGACGTGGCGCGAGCATCTGGGGATGGGTCACGGCCCTAACGCCACGCGAGCACCTGCGGAGAAAGACGGGATGGGCAAAGAGGCCTGGAATAAAAAAAACATAAAAAAACCTTTTGGACCTCTAACGTTGGTTGACATGGCGCCGACCCGACGACGCGAGTGTAAAGAGGGGGTGGGCAAAGACGCCTGGAATAAAAAAACATAAAAAAACCTTTTTGTACCTCTAACGTTGGTTGACATGGCGCCGACCCCACGCGACTCGAGTGTCTGCGGAGAAAGAGGGGGTGGGTCACGGCGACGTGACGCGAGCATATGTGTGAAAATACGGGATAGGCGAAGACGCCTCGAATCGTACAACACCTAGGTCACCTACTCCACTTCGGTGCCCCTCCTTCTCCACAGCAACGGTGACTTGAGCGGGAGTGCGAACGACGTTACGTGATGCTACGTGATGTGACCCACGTATCACGTAAACAGTACACCACCCAGGGAACGTACTCCACCTCGGTGCATTGGGCGTCGAGACATGGCCAAACTTGCTCACGTAAACCTCTTAAATTTCCTTATTGGTGCTCCCTATCTCGGTCACAATCCCTAAGCTTTAGGATCGTGATACTTATGAAATGCCGTAACGTTAGTTGTGCAAAGTACATTGTCACCATTTCAGGAGCCGTCGCGTTATTGGACTGTCGAAGACACCATCACTTCGAGCGGCAGTTCGACCTGCAGACAGTCGGGAACAGCACAGAGGCGGCCGCCGACATCCGAGTGATGGGGAATTCGCCAGGACTTCGGCTTAATTATGGTGACCCCAAATGCCGTAAGTAGCCACGTACAATCGCCCCGGCAAAAAAACGAGCAGACCCACACTTCAGGTACAATGGTTGCAGGAAACAGCTAGCTGTCCCAGCTCCGCGGGACACTCACGATGCAGGGTAGACAGGGGCAAGGCTCCTTTTTTGCCTCTCGAGACGTACTTGGTCGTTGCACGTCTCAACGTGAAAGACCCTTTTCTTCGATTAATGGAGGTGATCGCTCGCCGATATCCCGTTTAGTGATCCCTGCCATATCGTGAGTGATGAGCGTGTAGTGAGACATATTATGCCATTTTATTCTTATGTACCCACCCTATTGTTTTATACTGCGCTCTTGAGCTGAGAAACAATTTGTGCTTATTGTGGGTAAGGCCCTGTAAGCGATGGCGGCTCGTCGGCCGGGTCCCATTTACAGGTACGCGCAAGTCGCGCTTAATTCGCTCCATGTGCTTCGATAAAGCAGCCTTCCAGGCGTACATACCTGTAGCATATCCGACGTACCCCGATTAACCAGCCTTGGAACGCTTATTCATCACATGTATATAAGAGTCCGAATATGTCTTGTGCTGACACAGCTAGGGGAAGCGTAGCGTCCCCCGTCGTAGAGCGCGGTCGACGCGACACGATCAGCTGAGAGAGAAAAAAAAAGAAAAGTAAGGGGGGCAGCGCATCACCTCCTGCGACTCTATTCAGTTTTCCCCGTAATCCCAATACTGAGACGCGATATCTTAATCGCACAGCTGCGCACACAGCAAGAGAACGCGGCTCGACTTCTGTAATTGGCGGTTCATTCCGTTAATTAAAACGGCCTCTTAATTGCGGAGCAGCACCGCGCTCGACTTCTGCTAGGCGCGGTTCATTCCGTTAAATAAAACGACCTCGTAATTGCGCAGCAGCGCCACGCTCGACTTCTGCTAGGCGCGGTTCATTCGGTAAATAAAACGAATTCTGTATGCGCGGTTCATTCCGTTAATTAAAACGGCCTCTTAATTGCGAAGCAGCGCCGCGCTCGACTTCTGCTAGGCGCGGTTCATTTCGTAAATAAAACGAATCCTGTAATGCGCGGTTCATTCCGTTAATCAAAACGGAATTAAAACGGCCTCTTAATTGCGCAGCAGCACCGCGCTCGACATCTGCTAGGCGCGGTTCATTCCGTTAATTAAAACGGCCTGTTAATTGCGCAGCAGCGCCACGCTCGACTTCTGCTAGGCGCGGTTTATTCCGTAAACAAAACTAATTCTGTAATGCGCGGTTCATTCCATTAATTAAAACGGAATTAAAACGGCCTCTTCATTGCACGGCAGCACCACGCGCGACTTCTGCTAGGCTCGGTTCATTCCGTTAAGTAAAACGGCCAGCATCGCTCATACACTCGCGAAATGCACCGCGGATAGCACCAAATTTTTACGGAGAAGCCACAACTACAAGAGAAAAATTTTCAGCCAAGAAATGCACCGCGGATAGCATCAAACTCTTACGGAGAAGCCACAACTACAGGAGAAACATTTTCAGCCAAGAAATGCACCGCGGATAGCACCAAACTCTCACAAAAAAGCCACAACTACAGAAAAAAAAAATTTCCGCCAAATTTAGCGGCAGTTTGGCAACAGCCATTCTTCCAGTCTGGCAACCACTAATGCAACGCCAAAAGGAACTTTGCCGACGCAACGTTTACACGGCACTAAACGCGGCACGCGTTTCAACTGGCATGCACGTTTACCATCGACGCGGTTACTCTCTTTGTGTGATGCTCGAGCTTGACAGTACCACAACACTGTAAACACGAATACAAGCGAAACGATAGAGCTTAGCTCGCCGGTACTCACCTCACAAATCCGCGACGATACAGGGTCCAAGTCAGTCCTTCCGATATGCTGGAGCCACACTTCTTGCCGAGCGGCATTGTCTTTTCCTCGCGGAAGCGAAAATAGCTTCTTTCCTCTGCTGTACCTGCTTTTGCAACCTCTGGCACAGCAGGTCGGCGTCCCGAAACGTGCAGGATTACCGTGCACACACTCACGCGCGGTCGAACTCCGGCTACACAACAATACCAGGCGCGCACGCCTAGCCACAAACTAACACCGCGAAAGTGGACAAACAAAATGGCGTTTGCGATACCTTCACAAAGGCTAGTGCGTCATGCTGCAGATTTTTAGCACCGCCGAGTTTATTACACGGACAGCAGTGGCGCTGCCATCGAGAACGTCACCGCTGAGCACGTCTGCATGCAAACGATGGGCTATCGCGTTGAGTATTGCGTTCTTGCGGTGATGTCTTTTGCCACTGCATGCCACTTGCTTATATACACGTCACATCGTCGTATTTACCATTACTTTTTATATTTTTTTTCTTTCTCAATCACTCTTTCGGTGCATCGCCTAGAGCCGCAGCGCCCAGATGCGCTTTAACGGAAACATGAGCACAATCTTATCTTTGCGGCCAGGAGCCATACAGCCCCTCAACTAGCGTCGTTTACTATTTGCAATGCACGCGAAGGGAGAGGAGTCTGCACATTGACACGAATGGCGCTACTTTAGTTTATTTTTCAGGGACTTCATAGGAGTTTACACCGTGGCGCCCTCTCGCGTGTTGTTAGTGGACTTCTCTCTCTACCGCACGGCCGGACTCGACTCTTTCTCCGGCGCTCCGGAAGGAGCGTCGAGTCCGGCCGTGTCTACCGTGAGCAGCTGCGCTTCTTTGAGCGGATCGTCTGCTTTGGGCGCGAACTTTTCAGAACGAATAGCCCCGCAAGGGTCAACTTACGCCCTCAACGAAAGTTTTTGAGTGCAGTCGTGAATTCGCTTCAGCTGTAGTCCAATCTACCGGGCCAAGAAACCTCACATATGGCCAATAAGCACGCAGATGCCCCCGACCACCTTGCTAATCAGAAAGTGAAACTATGTGCGAGTGTGCTGTCTCCGCGAGCTACCTTGGCCGACTGCCGTCGATTGGTGAATGGAGATGTAGTCGGCAGCCGACTTCACTCCTCCGTGGCTCCTAGGCATTTGAAAAAGGTCAGCCGAGGTGCTCTGCCGGCTACGTCGAGGCGCGTGATTTCGTGCCACTTGCGCACCCCGGTAGTTTAGTGCAATCGGAAAAATGGTGATCCTAAGATAGACAACACTGCAATGAACGTTTATTAGAAGATTAGTTCCCGAAAGCCGAGTAAATGTGGCATGCGACCTAGGAGATTATCCTCCTAGCATGCTACTTTAAAAGCAGCTTCATGGAGAGCTCTACAATGCAGTTTTTTTTTTTGTTGAGAACATGCTTTACGTTCGCATCATATATAGTTCTGCTTGTGGCAACTTCTATAGGCGGATAATGTTATAAACGGTGAACAACACTGCGAACTCTTGTTCTGAACATACATGTATGAAAGAGAAAGAAGACAACCACCCGTTTGTAGCACGAAGCCACAAAAAAGTCATACGGATTTCTCAGAAAAGAAGCCTTTTTGTTCCCGAAAACTTTCCTAGTACGTGGTTCGGACCAGGACCAACACCTATCTGGGGCAGTCACTTTGCCGATTCAGCTAACCAGGAAGCTAGCATTTGACAGCGCGAGGGAATACTCATCGACAACTGGAAGGACATGGACGCAAGTACTACAAAAGTATGTTGCTAATGTTGCTCATTTGCAACATACATGTAAGTAGGATTGCATACACAGCTGGTTGAGCTGCTAGATGTAATACATTTTGAAGTGACATGCACTGTGCACCAAAGCTAAGTCACGCAGGGCATTGTCATTGTACACAACCCTCTCAGACTTCCACCAAGAATAAAATAACAACGGTCCGACATGGCGACTCGTGAAAGTACCTTTTTTTCTACAAAGCTGCTTCACTGGAAGTGAACGCAGCTCAAGGCACAGAGCGTGCGGTTTCTGCTCATGCAGTATAGGAGTAGATATGTGAATATGACATATTTAATAAAATAAATGAGGCAATGTTGCCCTCAAGCCACTTCTTGCAATGCAATGAAACGACAACTTGAAGACAAGGCAACGGCAACTTGAAGACGGGGGGAGGGGGTCGACCTCAGCAGGGATGTAATTAAAACCCCTATTTCCCGCCCCTCTTCGGTGCACCACTGACTTAGGTGACTCGGTGACAAAGACATTGGGGCACAGAGTGAGGTTAGGTCAGCCTCTGGGATGGGGGGGGTACAACTATTTAAACCCCTCCCACCGTCGGTGCACCAATGTATAGAGCCACCTCTAGTTTATGAGTTGCTCAGTATATGGCATTGTGTGTATATGTCCTTGGCAATATCAAAACTAGATGGCGTTATTTGTTTTCACAGCGTATCCACGGAGTGAATTATGACTGGGACAAAGCGTCTGTCCGCCCGTGCTTCCGTCCATCCGTCCAGACGCACGGAAGGACGCTTAGCCCCACTCATCATCATTCATTCCGTGGGTATGCTATGATTATTTCTATTGATGCAACACAAGCTCATAATATAGCATCGATGAGTTTTGCCACGAAGATTTCGCAGTCAATTACGATTATGATTGTAACGTAAAAATTCAGAAAAGTTCTGCACCAGTAATTTTTAGCACTGCAGAGTGTTAGTCACTTGTCATTTTGTAAACGAAATTTCAAGTCTTGTCTGAATGATCAGCTGCTTTCTATACGTTGTTGCTATATTCCATTCAAGACCAATCTGGGCCGCGTATTTCGCAATGATTAAGGGGAAAAAACATGAAACCCGACGCAGTTCGAACATTATTTTTCCACAATCCTGCCGCGAAGCGCAGAAAGTCCCCTTGACAGACATGATACTCGAGCTGATAGTAGTGAGTGGTTGCTGCCACCTGTTTCTTTTCACGTCTATAGAAGTTGCCACAAGCATAACTATATATGATGCGAACGTAAAGCATGTTCTCAACAACAACAACAAAAAAACTGCATTGTAGAACTCTCCATGAAGCTGCTTCTAAAGTAGCATGCTAGGAGGGTATTCTCCTAGGTCGCATGCCACATTTACATGGCTTTCGGGAACTAATCTTCTAATAAACGTTCATTGCAGTGTTGTCTATCTTAGGATCACCATTTTTCCGAATTCACTAAACTACCGGGGTGTGCAAGTGGCACGAAATCACGCGCCTCGACGTAGCCGGCAGAGCACCTCGGCTGACCTTTTTCAAATGCCTAGGAGCCACGGAGGAGTGAAGTCGGCTGCCGACTACATCTCCATCCACCAATCGACGGCAGTCGGCCAAGGTAGCTTGCGGAGTGAGCACACTCGCACATAGTTTCACTTTCTGATTAGCAAGGTGGTCGGTGGCATCTGCGTGCTCATTGGCCATATGTGAGGTTTCTTGGCCCGGTCGATTGGACTACAGCTGAAGCAAATTCACGACTGCACTCGAAAACTTTCGTTGAGGGCGTAAGTTGACCCTTGCGAGGCTATTCGTTCTGAAAAGTACCAGCTAAGCGTTTTTCATCTGCGGCCCATAGGGGCGCGTCAGTCGAGAGTTGTTCGAGACCTGCAACTAAACACTGCTATTTCGAAGGCTATGCAAAATGTTGCATTGTTGCACCGTCCGCCACAGGTGACGCTAGCGATCGAGAACATTCTAAAATAAAGGAGAAAAAGGGTGTGGCAGCCGTTTTTCTTCTCATGCAGCAGGCATCTTCTAGCGGAGGCGTTGTGCATAGTTTCACTTTCTCGCCAGCAAGGCGGTCGGTGGCAAAGTGGTCGGTCCGGTCGATTAGACTACAACTGAAGCAAATTCACAACTGCACTCGAAAACATTCGTTAAGGGCGTAAGTTGACGCTTGCAAGGCTATTCGTTCTGAAAAGTTCGCTCCCAAAGCAGACGATCCGCTCAAAGAAGCGCAGCTGCTCACGGTAGAGAGAGAAGTCCACTTACAACACGCGAGAGGGCGCCACGGCGTAAACTCCTACATTTCGACGCCATTTTGAGCTAGGCTGATTCTCCAACGACCTGGTCGATGGAAAGGTAAGTCATTTCAGGCGCTCGTATTCATCTCAGACAAACGAATGACCCGTTTTGGTGGATGTGTTTTGGATTTTACAGCCTGCTCGTTGACTCTCGTGTGCCCGACGTGTCGCGTTCCTCGAAAGGTGAGTTTCAAAATTAGCAATGATTTGCGATACGTGGCCGCGATGCTGAATCGATCCTCAAGACCGAGACGTCGGGAAAACGAGTAGTGTAATGTTTTAACGCCAAATCCACGGATTGCTTGCCGATTTCTTTGTAGACGTTCTCAATGTGTAAACAATGGTGTGCGTGTCTGAGAAGTGAAATATTTTAACATGAAATGTGCGAATTGCTTGCCGATTCCTTTGTTCACGTTCTCAAACGAAGGTGTGCGTGTCTGCATGAGAAAAGACTGCCAATAGATCATGACGTTTTGTAGTAACTCGTTCGTGATAGGAAGCGTATCGATAACGAAGCAAATACGCGCTTACCGAAAGGTTTTAACTCGGTGCGTTCGCTTGTACGAGCCACTGCAGTGTTGCGGGGTGCGTTGAACGCTGCGTTTCCCCGTTTAACTGGCAGCATCGAGGATATTCCAGAGTCGCGTCGATGCAGTTAAATGTTTCAGAGACGCGTAGTGTTTTTCTGTTATCACGAGATCGGGCGTTTGTCGAATCATCGATAGGTTGGTAAAGCAGCGTGCTTTTCAATTCGCGCAACGCTGCCCCGTGATACGAATCAGACTATAGTGTTGGCTGCACAGCGCTGACTTCTAAATAGTGTAAAACGTTTCGTGAACTTTCTCGTAACTGTTGTGGTACTGATAAATACCGATGCCGTGTTGTGGTCCCGCAGATGTGCGGACTTGACGCGACAGCTTCATTTAGGCCGGCTGCGTTGCGCACACGTTGGCTTCGTACTTGTCGCACTGTGCGTACCCTGCGTGGT